GGGAGAGAATCTTAATTGGGGAAGGAAACTTTAACTGGAGTTACTGAATTAAAATTTTAAATTTTATTAAATTAAATAAGGACGTAATTGTTTAATGAATCATTTAACTAAAATTATTTAAATAAAATTTATCAGTTAAATGTAAAATCTAAATAGGGGAGAAAAATTTAATTGGGAGTAAAATTGGGGAAGAAAAATTATGGGGAGAAAATTTTAGTTTGGGGAAGGAAACTTTGGAGGGAGAAAATTGAAATTGTGGGGAGAAAATTGAAATCGTGGGAGAAAAATTGTGGGAGAAAATGGAAATTGTGGGGAGAAACAAAATTTCACATTATTTGGGTAAAATTGACCTTTTTTTGCAGGTGAAACCCCCAGAAATGAAGGAAACGAGGGAATCTTCTGGGATTTTGGCTGTGGAAAGGAGCACGCGGGCAGGTAAGTGTAGAGCATTGACCTGAATAATCACTTTTTTGGGGTTATTTTTAATACTTCTGTAATTTGAGAACAAAACTCAGCTGAGATAAGGGAGCATTAAAAAAACCGACAAAAAAGTGCATTTTTTAGCACTTCCTGCAGAAAAGTTTTGCCGATCGGCAGCTGGAAAATTGGCTCTGAATTTTTTTGCTTTCGGTTTTCACAGATGATTTAATTCCCCTCTTAGATCTGCAAAATTTGGTGCCATTTGGACTGTGAAAATTTGGACTGCAAAATGTCTGCGAAAATTTTGACTGAAAATTTGGAAAAATTTGACTGCAAAAACTTTTACAGTAAAATTTGGACTGCAAAAATTTGGACTGCAAAATTTGGTGTCATTTTGAGGGCAAAATTTGGACAGCAAAAATTTGACTGCAAAATTTGGACTGCAAAAATGTTGACTGCAAAAACTTGTACAGCAAATTTTGGTGCCGTTTGGACGGCAAAAATTTGGACGGCAAAATTTGGTGCCATTTTTGACTGCAAAATCTTGACTGCCAAATGTGGCCCCATTTTCCTGTAAAGTTTCTGCCATTTTGGCACCAAATTTTGCATCGAAATTCCTCTTCACCCTCCAAAAAAAAGAGGGAAAACCCCAACTTTTTGGCCAATGGGGCGCTCTGAAGGCCTCTGTGTGGTTCTTCCCGCAGGCGACGGCGCTGAGGCGAAGCCGTGGGTGCGCGGTGGCTGTTGGGTGGCCATGGCCGTGCTCTTCCTGGCCCTGCTCGTCACCGCCACCGCTTTCGCAGGTAAATGCTGAGGGGTTTTTCTCCCCCCCCCAATAGAAAACTTCTCTTATTTGGTGCCAACCTCCAACAGTTTGAAAACGGCTTCAAAATTTGGAAAATGGCTTTTCAAAATTTGACAAACAGCTTTTCAAAAATTTGGGAAAATCCTTAATTTCAAAATTTGGGAAAATCCTTAATTTCAAAATTTTGGGAAAATCTTTAATTTCAAAATTTGGGAAACCGGCTTTTAAAAAATTTTGCAAATGCTTTCCAAAAAATTTGGGAAAATGCCCTCCAGAAATTTGGGAAAAACGGCTTTTCAAAAAATTTGGGAAATGGCTTTTCAAAACTTTGGGAAAATCCTCAAAATCTGGGGAAAATCCTTCTCAAAATTTTGGGAAAACCCTTTTTTCAAAATTTAGGGAAAATCCTTTACAAATTTAGGGAAAATTCTCAACATTTTGGGAAAAATACTTTTCAAAATTTGGGAAACCGGCTTTTCAAAAATTTTGCAAATGCTTTCTAAAAAAAATTGGGAAAATGCCCTCCAAAAATTTTGGAAAAACGGCTTGTCAAAAAAAAAATTTGGGAAAAAATTTCAGAATTTGGAAAACACTTTCCAAATTAGAAATTTTTGGGGGCCGTGGGGCTGAGGAGGGACCTCCCCCAGCCCAAAGGGATGCTGGGAAGGCGCCGTTTTCTCACGCCCTGTTTCTCCACCAATGGCAGCGCAGGCGTTTCAGCCCCGCCCCTGTTTCCGGTGCCCGTGGGACTGGATTGGCTACAGAGGAAAGTGCTGGTTTTTCGGGGAGGCCGAGGGGAACTGGACGTGGGGACGCGACAACTGCACTGTGCTGGGGGCGTCCTTGGCCACGCTCGACAGCCTCGAGGACCTGGTAAGGAGGCACAAAAACGGGCTGAAATTCTGATAAATTTCTTTTAAAAACCACAAATTTGCCAAATTTTGAATTTTTTCACTGCTTTTGTAGCATTTTCTGTGGAAATTTGGGGTGAAACGGGGAAAATATTTTGTTTTTCTGAAGGTCATCGTGGATCTCCTGAAATTTCTCAGCAAAACCAAATTTGCAAGGAAAAAAACAAACAAACCGTACAAGGTTTAAAAAATAAAACTAGAAAATTAAAATTAAAAACTTAAAAAATTAAATTTGATATTTTTTGGTAGCAAATTTCGAGGTTTAAGCCCCAAATGAGCGCAAACGAATGGTAAAAATGTACATTTTGGGGTGGAAAAGGAGGTTTTTGGATTTTTTTTCTCTTTTTTCTATTTTTTTAGAATTTTGCGATGAGATTTACGGGAATTTCGGAAAATTGGATCGGCCTTTCCCGGCAAAACGAGGAGAAGCCATGGGAATGGGTGAACGGCTCGCGATTCTCTCACCTGTGAGTCTGTATTTTTCATAATTATATCAATTTTTAGCATTTTTTCAGCCCAAAAATACGGTTTTTCTGCATTTTTCATCATTTATTGGTGATTTCTCAGCCCAAAAAATGTGATTTTAATGTGAATTTTTTAACAATTTAGTCTTTTCTTCCCATCTCTTTCGAGGTTTCGGGTCCACGGCGATGGCCTCTGCGCTTCCCTGGGTGCCCGCGGGGTCGACTCCTCCCACTGCGGCGCCAAAAATCACTGGGTTTGCACCAAAACTGAGGTGCGGAGTCCGGGCCTTTGCGGTGGCTCCTGAGGGGACCCCAAAATCCGTAAGGGAACCTCCAGAATAACCCCAAAAATGGGCAATTTTGGGGAGGGGAAAAAAGCAAAAATTTCCCAAAATTGCTGAGGAAGAATTTGCGATTTGAATAAATTCGGGTTCTTTGAACGAATAAATTGTGGTTTGTAGCAATTTGGGGAGCAAAATTTCAACATTAAGGCTGAAAAGAATTTCTTTTTTAAATTTAAGGCTTAAAATAGTTTATTTTTGAATAATTATGGCTTAAAATACTGTATTGTGGAAAAACTATGGCTTAAAATAATTTATTTTTAAAAAATTAAGGCTTAAAATAAATTATTTTTGCTAAACAAAGGCTTTAAATAGCTTATTTTTGAAAAATACACCAAATCTAGGGATGTTAAAGTGCGTTTATGTAAAAATCCAAGTGGCCAAACTGCTTTTGTTGGTTGGTGATGACCTAAAATCGGTGTAAAATTAGGATAAAAATTGGAGTGATAGATAGTTAATAGATAGTTAACAGACAGTAATTGGGGGATTGGACTGGATGATCTTTTCAGGTCCCTTCCAATCCCTAATGTTCTGTGATTCTGTGATAGTATAAATAAGTAAGGATTAAATATTATATATATAAAAATTATATTGGTTTTGGTATTTAATATGATGTAACGTAATACGATATGATGTAATATGATGTGATGTAATGTATGATGTATGATATGATGTCATATAT